GCGGCATGACGGCGCCATCGTAGTAGAGCGTGTCGAGCAAGGCCGTGTACCTGATGGCCAAAGACTCCTTCGGGGAGAGCGCCAGTACGCCACAGTCCTGCCGAGATTCGAGCCTGCTGTGCAGTGCCCCGTAGTCGGTGTATCTTGCGGAACCTAGCTGCGGCTGAGCTCTGTCGCTTCCTGGCTTTGGCTTGTGCCCGTCGAGTAGCCGCAGCCGCGTCAACTCCGAGGTCGACGGCCGTGGCGGTCGCTGTAACAGGGATGTCGTACTGCCGCAACTTCTTGGCTAGCGATTTGCGGACCTTGGGGGTGGAGCCGATGAGGACCGTCTTGTCAGAGATGGGCAGCTCGAACTCCTTTAGACCGTCGCAGAGCGTCTTGGCGGCACGGGGGAGGTGCTTCTGTAGTGTGCGTAGGACTCCTTCGACTCGAAGGACAGTGTCGTCTACGAAGGTCCACATCTGGGCCAGCTCTGCCTGCGCTTGGGCTTGCCGTAGAATAGGAAGTAATATGAGTCGTGCCAAGGTCGTGCCATGCGGGGAGCCTGCGATGATGCCTTTGGAGGCGAAGATAGGCATACTCACCCATTGTCGACTGCGCAAGAATCTGGGCGCCAGGTATAGCTGTACTTCCAGAAGTAGAATGATGGGGGGAAAGCCGCAGTTGAGGCCGACCCTAATGAGGTTGGCGAGCTTGATCTTGTCGTAGAACTTCTGGATGTCTAATAGCAATGTGGCTGACTGTATGCCAAGTGCTGAGGCTGTCTCGTCTAACAAGGCCCTGTGTAGTGCGGCCTGGAGAGCTGAGGAGCCTTTGATGGCTGTAGTCCAAAAGTCGTCCAGGCCTTGGGTCCAGGATGTAGATGCAGTCGACCTGATGCGAGACCAGAGTCTGGCCATGTGAGGTAGCATGCCGAGAACCCTGTCGCCTCCAGACTTCTTGGCTGCTAGGGCTGCAATAGTGCCTGAGATTTGTAGTGGCCAAATGCCTGCTTGCTCTACCGCGTTGAGGATATCCGCATAGGCTTCGACTGCTGGTTCTGGTAGTCGGTGGAGGTCGCGAGGTCCAAGGGCATCAACTCCATGTGCTTTACTGGGTGGCATGCGGCCGTGAAAGCGGTGTACGATCTCGGCTGTGATGGGCTCGAGCGGTTGGCGAGCGGCTGCTGCCTTGGCCTTTGACAGCGCCTGTAGGATGTCGTCGGGGGTCTCGGTGGCCTGCCATACTTGTTGCCATTGTTGCTTCTTGCTGTCCATGATAACGGTGGGGTCGGCGATGGTCAGGTTGGTCGTGTAGGCCTCGATGTGACGCACGGGCGCTGGCTTGACATGGGCGTGTAGTACTCCAGGGCGGTGTTTCCATTGCTTGGCGAGCCAAGCACCGTAGGCCCTCTTGGACTTTAGCGAGGGCGGCAGCAAGCGCTCTGGAGGCCCAAGTAGCAGTAATAGTGACCAAGTCGTCGGTGTCCTCGTTGTCCAAGTGCGGGCCCCAGACGAGTGCAAACCAGCGGAAGATGGTGTCCTCGTCCTTCTCGAACTGGAGGTCGTGAAAGTGAGTGTTGGAGTGGTCCGCGCGCTGCTGGGTGATGGAGGCCTGCTGCTGCATGAGCGCAGTGTGCTTGGGCTTGTCGTGAAGCGCAGCGTAGCGCTTGGTGAGGGTGAACGTGATTGCCCACCATTCCGACTGAGGGTCGTGTACGTGAACTCGGCCTGGGGCGGCGGCCGTCTTCTTCCAGGACAATTGGTAGCCTTGGGCACGGCCTGTGAATGCTGCGGCTTCCTTGGGGTCGATCTGGTGGTGGCTGATCATGGTGTTCTCGAGCGCCGTGACCCATTTGGCGTACTTGAGGTTGAGGTCGTCGGCTTCGTGCACCCAGTGGGTGTACACGAAGTGCGCGTGGGGCTGCTTACAACGTGTGGGCACTGCTTGCTGCCATTGCTCCTCCCAGAGGTCCGAAGGGATAACGTAAGGGATAGGCTCCTGTGCTGCGGGCTCGTCTTGTGGCTGGAGTTGTGCTGCTGCTTGTTGGAGTTCAGGAGGTAGCTCACGTAGGCGTGCTGCTCGAGCTTCTGCTGGTTTACGTCTCTTGATGGCGGACTTGCTGTTAGGGTCGGGTGGGATCCTGGGTCTGTCCACTGTGGGGAAAGCCCTGGGGGTATGGATCGACTGATACCACCAGGGGTCTGCACTGCCTGCTCGAACTTCAAGGCCCACGTGGGTGGCCCAGGGGACGGTGGGGCACTGGCGAATGGAGATCGTGTGCTCAATGCCAGTCTTGACCAATGCGAAGTCGAGCGTGAGTCCCTGGCCCTTGTCGCACGTGGCAGATCCAGGCGCTCGCACGATGGTAGCATTCCATTTGGCGGGCCACTCTGTCGCCGCTAGCTGCTCAGGAATCATATTCCAATCGGCCAGGATGATCCACGGGTCAGTGAGCATAGTTACGAAGGCCCCCAGCGAGAGTAGCTCATCGTGCACTGCACCCTCGATCTGCCTGTGGGGTCCCAGATACGCTGCAATAACAACCAGGTTGCCAGAGCGTCTGTGCCACACCATGGGCGTGAAGCCTCGGAATGGGTCGGGCCTGCGCTGGGGGATGGCCAGGTCGCGTAGGTGGTTGAAGGTTGTGGCCTGGACATGGTACCTGGAGAGGATAATCTCGCCACCCGTGTTGCCTCCGTCGGATCTGCTGGTCGGCGTGGCTGTAGTCGATGATATCCTCCAACCATCCGCTGCTAGCTTGTCGTAGATGAGAGGGGCTTTACCGTGCGAGATGTGTGTTTCAACCAATGCCACCATCTGATATTGTTTGCCTGGTCCTGTCAGCCATTTCTCCGACTGTGGCCCCCACTGAGTAATATTGGAGAAGAACAGGGAGTGATCTGACGGCGTGGTACTCGTAGGGCCATCGTCTTGGTGGACGGGTCTGGGGTCGGGTCTCGGGCTGCTGGCCTTCCATGGGCCTTTCACAGAGGTCGAGTCGATAGCTTTCGCGATCTCATCGCCCCCTACCAAGGACTGCGTCTTGGGCGGGGCGGCATCAGGGTGTGCCGTTGGCAACGGCTCCCCTGGTTCCTGAACCAAATGCTTGGCGACAGCTTGGGCCGTCTCATCGCTCCCTACCGAGGACAGCGTCTCGGGCGGAGCGGCATCATGGTCGGCTCGCGCGGCACGCTGCGGCTGCCCTGGGCCCCATGTCACTGCGTCGACGGACTGTGCCGCCTCATCGCCCCCAACCGAGGACAGCGTCTCGGGCGGGGCGGTAGCGTACTGAGCTGTGGCTGCGAAATCGATGTGGGCGTCCAACTCGGCCAGCTCGTCGAACGGGTCGAGGACTGCGTCCATTGTGTTGATGGTCGGTGGGTTGTCGTAGTACTTGGTCTCTGACGGTAGACGTCCCGTCTCACCATTCCGTCCAGGGTCGGGTAGTAGTCGGCTAAAGAGGCTGCTGCGCTCCAACCGCGGCGGTCGCGGTGGGCTTGCGCATCTGGCTGAGCATCTTCTGTGCCTTGTCTTCGAGGTCGGGGTCCTTGTTGATCGCTGGTACAGGCTGTGCAGCGAAGCTGCCGTCAGAAGCAGCGCCAGCAGCAGGTGCGGGAGGCTCATCGCCTGGCGCCGCTGTCGATGAGGCCGCAGAGCCATCAGCGTCCGCTGCGGCTGCCGCTGGGGGTTCGCCTGCTGTCGCCGAGGCGGCGGGCGGTGATCCACCTCCCTCTCGGGCGTGGCCGTCCTCGTCGGACCGCTGTCGCTTGGCGGCGAAGCGCGTGCGCATGGTGCTGGCCTCTGTGCGGAGCTGGCTGATGCGGCTGGCGGTGTTTCCGAAGAGCTCGGTGACCTTGGCCTTGAGCTCCGTGGCGAAGCGCTGCTGAAGGGATTCCCATGCCTGGCGATCGCTGTCGTCGATGTCAAGGCCTTGGAGATCGAAAGCCGAACCCGCTTCGATGGAGATGTCACCGTCCTCGAGGAGGCTGGTGAGGTTGAACGTCGGGTTTTGCTGCGAGGTCGTGGGAGTAGCCGTGCCGCCCTTGCGAGCGACTTGGAGTGCATCGAGAGCGGCTTGAGCCTCGGCCTGGGCTTCTGCCAACTTGTAGGCGGCCTCCTCCGACGCCGCCTTGCGCTCGGTGTACCAGCTGAGCGCCTTTTGCTCGCTCTCGAGCAGCCTCTCCAGGTTGTTCTTGCAGCGGCGCTCCGTGGCCTGGGCGCGGCTGTAGATGTCGTTGAGGTCGGCTGGCTTCTGCGGCTGGGGCGGCGGGATCTGCGACTTGATACCGTCGATGGCTGCCTTGTCGATGTGGGGGGCGATCGCCTGGAGCTCCGCAAGGATGTCCTCTGCGGAGCGCACCTTGGGGGTGTCGTTCTTGTTGGCCCACCAGTCGTCCTCTTGGTTCTTGCCATTGCCATTGCTTCGGCGGCGGCGGGACTTGGGCCATGATGACCACGGTTCCCATCAAGTCTCGGGGCTGGGCTGCTGGGTACAGCTGGAGTCGGCCTGGGCTGCGGCCTTGGCGCGGGCCGCCCAGGCGCCTTGAACTGGAGGCGGGGAATCTGTCCACGGCGCCAAGGCTTTGCTGCACCAGTAGCACGTCTGGTTGGTCTTGTAGTTCCAGGCGTACGAGCAGGAGTAGCACTTGACATAGGCGCTGCGCTGCTGCGGAGGCGCCATGGACGAGCTGAGGAACAGAGGAAGCTCACCTGCGGGCTGCAGGAGGCACACGGAGAGTTGAACAAAGCTGTCGGGCTCAAGAGCCC